TCCGCGCGGCCACCTCGCCGCCGACCGCCGGATTTATTTTCAATTCGTCGCACGGATCAATGGAATCGCCGCCGCAATCGATGTGCATTAAAGAATTTACAGCGCTCTTCTCTTCGGTCCCCGCGATCTCAAACGTATCGCCAATCGTAACGTGAAGTCGCGGACAGTTTAAAAAATCCCTCCCCAGCAAGACATCGAAAGCCATTGTCTTTCGAGGAACCACATAGAACTTCATTTCGACCCGTACTCCGCCGACCTCCAACTGACCGAAGAAAGCACCACCGATCTCCAGCCGCGACCCATTAACCCCGCAGAACGGCTGTTCGTTTGCCGTGTCGCATCTCGCCTCGCACGGAACTACGTCGCCGCGCACCAGACTAATAGGCGAACCGGAGTCTATCATTGCGTCCACCACATATGTACATTTCTCTTTCGCATCACCGGGCAAAATCTTTACACGGATCATGTACGGCTTAGGAAGATCGACCGGATGCAACATATTTGTCGTGGTGGTCCGCGCCACGTCCTCCGATGCCCCCGACGTTGAGGCTTGATTACGTCTCGGACACTCCCGCGCGAAATGACCCTCCGATCCGCACACGAAACACGTTTTCCTAGTCGGTAACGTCTGCCTACAATACGCCGCAATGTGCCCCGTCGCGACAACGATGACACCTTCGCACTCCCTCAGCCGTCGTCGCCTCTGTCCTTTTGCTGTTGGCAGTCCTCTGTCCGTCCCTCCTGGTTTTGTCGTTTGTCCTCTCCCCATCGATTTGAATCTTTTCGAATGCCTTCAGCAAATCGGCTCCCCTCTCCAGATTCAGCATCCGTGCCTGGTTCCGCAGCCTCTGGTCCGACACTCCCTCGATCACATAGTCCAGGATTTCGTCCTGAGCTATCGGCACTCGATTCGCCAGGATCATTTTGTCATGATAGTAGTCGCAAAATGATTCGCCTGACTTCCAAGTCCGGGACTCAAACTCCCTTCTCATGGTAAGCCTGCCCGGACGCAGATCAAACATCTGATCCATCTCCTTGAGCAGATCTTCGACGCTCAACACCAAGTATTCTGCCCTTGAGTAGAACCACGACAGCGCGCGTCCTTTCAACCGCGAACTAATTAAAATGCGAGTAGCATTTTCGTTCAGATTGTAGGTGGTCTTTAATAATTGCAGTTGTTGCTTCCACCTCCAAAAAGTATTGTCCCCGTCAAACTCGGGAAGCAGCTCTCGAATTTCTCGCACGCCGCTCGTCGCCGATACCGCGCTGCCCTCCGATGCCGCGCTTCTCGCCGTAGGAGAGCCTCTCACAATCTCCAGCTCTCGCTGCAGCAACTGTTGCTCTCTCCGCCAGCACTCTCTCTCTCGCGGAGTATCTCCAGCTCTCGTCTCATCAGGCTATGGTCCTCCAGGCCCTGCTCCGCGAAGCTCCTGTCTCTCGGTGCACGAGCCTCTTCGCTCGCCACCGATGCCCGAGACCTTACGCTCGCCGCAGGCGCCCTAGTCTCCATCCTCGTCGCCGACGCTCGAACCTCCACGCTCGCCGTCGGTGCCCGAGTCTCCTCGTCCTCCGCCGGTGTCTCGTCGTCCCCATCCGACCGACGCGAACAACCCGGATCCCCGTCCTCACCCTGAGCGGCTCCCAGCGTCTCCGCCAACTCTCCCCACACATTCGGATCGTATTCGTTCAACCGTTTTATCAGTTCGACCTTTAACCCGCCCGTGGTCAGTCCGCGTTGACGAAGAGCGGTCTTCAATTCGGTCACCGTCATCTCACTCCCGATTTCCATCGTGACTGTCTTTCCGGAATCGAATAGTTAATTGCCCGTCGACGCGCTCGCGAAAACCCAACACTCGCGTCACGCTTCCCGAAACGCGCCTTGTCAAGATTTCCGGATTCTCGCAATGTCAGGGCGAGCTCCGAATCCCACTTCTGACGCTGTTAGCGCGAAATAATTATTGGCACTAACCTTTTTTACCTCGTCGCTGACTGGATTCGCGGTCCTCAGATCTATGCCAGATGGATGGATCTCGTTCAATTTATTATAATTAGTCAGGATGTGTGTGAGGATATATATATATGTATATTATGTTCCAATAAATGTATTTATTTGCGATCCGATGTGTATATATATATATTGTAGATTCGATACAGACGCCGGAGCTGCTGGTAACGCCGCCAGAATAATTACTTTCTCTGATTATCAGACTGTGTCAAAAACTGTCAAACTGTGTAACTGTGTAACTATATAACTGTCGCGCGCTCAAATATCCTCATTTTTATACTCGCTTGTCTAAAATATTCCCACCCCAAAGTACCGGACCAATCGGAGTAATTTTACATAAAATCGTTCGGTGCTCGCGAAAACAATAATTCTTACGAACGAGAGAGATTAGGTTGACGGTCGCACAAATAAATAAAATATAACGCATAATAAAACTAAACCGTCTAAGGACAAGTAAACGAAAATATAAATAAATAGATTAATATCTCTCTCGCTTTCCTTTCCCTTATACATACGACAATAAAGTTAAAATATATAAAAATGCTTACATTACTTAAAAAGAGCTGCAATGACAACCGAAACGTTGTATGACAACTAATTATTTATAATAAATGATTGCCAGTTTGGTCGACTTTTAACTTTGAGAAGATTTTTATTAATTATTACTGGCGAACCTTAGGATTATTATCTATAATTTTATCTATTTTCTATTGATTGGATTACATTTTCTTAACTTATTTTATTTATTTATAGTAACATTTATAAATGTAACATTTATGTGATTTATAGTTTTCTTATTATATATTATTATTATATATATTTAATTTAATGAGTGTGTATAAAGTTTAATATAAATAATAATTACAATATTACATCTAATAAATATAAATTTACAAATAATTTAATATTATATTTATATATATATATATTAATATAAATATATATATACATATATACATATAATTTAATATTTATGAATAACTATATATATGACTGTCTGCTGACAAGAGGAATCTTGTCAACTCGTACTTAAGTTCTGATTTTGATGAACTTGGATATGTTGTAATCTAAATCATAAAATAAAAAGAAGTATATCTTTTTTATATTGATCCAAATTATACAAATAATAAATAAAATAAATAAAAATATTCCCTAATAAAAAAGTCAGTTTTTATATTTCTGAGCAAAAACGTGTGAAGAATAAAAGATATGAGAAAATATTTTAAATAAAAATTTACACAGTTTTTGATGTAGATACTTTAAAACAAAATGTAATCAAATTTTCAAAATATATTTTTTGTAATTTCCTTTTATTCAATTTTTTATTAAAAAATTTTAAGATTTATTTTACAACAAAAATTAAAGCATATTCAACACCAAATTTAAGCATATATGATAAAATCGTATTTAGATAACAAATACTTATAAATAAATGTTTATAAAGTCCTATTCTTAGTGTATAAAAATATTATTTTATCATATTTATTTCTTTCATAATTATTATAATATATATTTCAATTCAAGTTTATTCCGGGTTCCCTTAGGATTTCCGGGGCGTTTTCAAGGGTGCGCCAAACTCTTTACAGTCTCCTTTCTCACCTCTCTCCATATAATACATTACATACAATACATTTTATTTCTGTACATATATTCTATTCTCTCCTCTCTTTTTCGCCTGCTTCTTTCCTCTTTCCGCTTCTGGACCTCCATCAACAGTTAGCCTCTCCTCATCCCTCCTCTTCTTTGTTACTCCTTCTCTGTCCCCTCCTCTCGGCTATCTCTGTCTCTGTCCCGGTTCTCTGTCTTCTTTGTCCTGACTCTCTCTCTCCACCTTTAACATACAAAACCTGTCTTTTCCCTCCCCCCTCATCTTTCCCCATAACAAACATGATCTTCCTCCTTCCTCGCCTGGCCATTTTGCGACCTTACAATTTTCTGAGTCCCTTCCCCTTTCCCCTTTTCTCTTCCTTTTCCTTTTTTTTCCTTCTCTCTCCCTTCTTTTCTTTTTATCTACCGTTTCGCCCTTTTTCCCTTCCTTTCCCTTCTATTTTTCTTCCTATTCCTCCCTTGCCTCCTTTTTTCTTTTACTCCCTTTCCTCTCTAACCTCTGCTTCCCCTCGTTCCATTTTCTTCTACCTCCCTTTCCTTTCTATCCTCTCTATCCTCTCTAATCTCTGCTTCCCCTTTTTTCTTCCTCCTTCTATTCTCCTTTCCTTTTTAACCTCTTTTCTTCTTTCCATTCCCATTCCTCTCCCTCTATCCACAATCTTTTGCCACTTACCCTTGCCTCTTTCCCTCTAGCTTTTTCTCTCCTCGCTTTTTCCATCATCATCCACCTAATTCTCCTTCCTCTCTTGTCAAATCCTCTTCAATTCCTATTTCTCATTTCCTCCACATCAGTTTCCCACTCTCCAATAGCTCTCTTTTATCCTCTTCATTCTCCATCTCTACCATCTCTACCATCTCTACCATCACTATCATTTTCCCATCATCTCCCTTCACCTCCCATGACCCTGTTATACCTGCTTTCTATCCAGCACTACTTCCGTCATCCTCTCTAGCAGTATCCTTCTCTCCTCCTGGTCTTCTCCATCCAGTCTTCTCCATGCAACATTTTTTTTCCTCCTCCATCTTCTTTCCATCTCCTTCGCTCTTCTTTCTTTTTTCTCTCTTTTGCCTTTCTTTAATCTTACCATGTGCGTACTTGCATATCATGCGTGACAATGCGTGCGCAACTTCCTTTCTCTCACGTGTTCTTCTTGCTCTCCCTTGCGCCATCTCTGGCTCCCTCTCTCGCCTATCACTATTACTATTCTTCCTTCCTTACCGTCTTTTCTTTCCTCATTCATTCCTCTCCTCATACCTCCTTCCTTTTTCCCTCTTTTTTACTCCCTTTTTCAACCACTTCTCTTATTACACATGTTTCCCATGTCTCATCTTCCATCCCACATAGCCTACATCTTCTTTTCCCCTCTTTCCCAGTATATCGCCCCTCTCATTTCATTGTCATTCTGAATCTCACTATCTTTTTCCATCTACTTTCCCTCCATTCCTTTCTCAGATACTTTGGTAATCCCTCCTCCTTCCATTCTCCATACCATCTATTATATCTCGATTCTCTTATCCTCTCCCATCTTTCCTTCTTCTGCATTTCTCTGTCTTTTTGCTCCCATCTCTCGTATACTTCCTCTCCCCTTCCTCTCTTTTCTCCATCTCCTTCCCTTCTTTCCTTTTTCTTCAAGGAATTTTGCTCTCTCTTCCTCCCACACTGTTTTCTTCTTTCCTTCTCTTACCCTCTTTTTCATATCCTCATAGCATTTCCTCGCTAAACTTCCTCCCCTTCCTTGATCCAATTTCTTCTCGTACCCTACTGCTCTTCTCCCTGCCCTTATCCTAAATTTATCCTTTCCTATCTCCTCTCTTACCATTTACCCCGGCATACACCAGTTCACTCCTAACGTTCACCTAATCTATCTTTCCTGCATTGCCTCTACTTCTCTCCTCTTCTTCCACCCCCATATTTCCGCCCCATATTTCAACACCGTTCCCACCAATCTTTCCATTAGCCATAATCTTTTCATCCAATCTTCTGCAAATCTTCTTTTCCCCATTCCCCACACCTGTCTTATCACCGCACCTGCTTTCCTTACTCTGTCCTTTACCTGTGCCTTCTGTCCCTCATTCCTCTTTGTAACTTATATCTTAAATAAGTGAATTTCTTTTACTTCCTCTAATCTTTTTCCTTTTCACCTCCACTCAACTTTTTTTATTCTTCCTCCTTTTTTAAACCTCATTATTTTTGTCTTATCTACATTCACTTCTAACCTTTCTTATCCATATAATTTTCTATTTTTTCTAACATATGTATCATCCCTTCTTCATTTTCCGCCAACAATACCATGTCATCTGCATATGCTAAGCAGTGTACTTTTTCCCTCCCAGTTTCACCCTCCCCAACCTTCTTTTTTCAGTACCTCCTCTATATCCGCTATCAACAGATCAAATAAATGTGGGCTTATTGGGCAACCTTGCTTCACTTTCTTTTGCCGTCCAAAAACTTTCTCTCTCCTCCTTCCCCACTCTTACTTTGCTCCTCGTTTCTCTGTACACCTCCTCTATCCTGCTTCTTAGTCCTTTTCTTATCCCCCTATTTTTCATTGTTTCCATTAACATCTCCCTGTTCACCGAATCAAACGCCGCCTTTAGATCTATGAAGGCCGCCACTACCTTACTTCCCTTGTTATTCACTTTTCTAATCACCAAGTAGTTTAGAACATAAATACTGTTTATCACCCCCATTCTTTTCCTAAAACCTGTTTGACTCTCCGGTATCATATTCTTCTCATCCATTTCCTCCTTTACCTTTCCGTTAGTATCCCCACGTATATCTTATATAACGTTGGCATCAATGTCACCCCTCTGTAATTTTCCATTATATCCCTGTTCCCTTTTTTACCAGTGGCACAATTATCCCTTCTTTCTACCTCTCCGGCCATCCTTCCCCTCTCCAGACTCTGTTGCACATTTCCCATACCACTTTTTTATCATCTCCCTTCATATTTCCATATCTCACTCGGTATTCCATTCTCTTCCGCTGCTTTTCCTTTCTTCATTTTTCCCAATATCCTCTTTTATTCCCCCTGCTTATCTTCTGTTGCTCATCCCTCTCCCTTTTTTTTTTCTTCTTCTTACAACTTTACTCTCTACCAATAAGTCCATGAAATATTCCTTCCATTCATCCGCCTTTATCTCCTCATTCACCCCTTCCCTTTTTTTCCTTTCCCTGTTTATGATTTTCCATACCTCTCCTTCCGTTCTTGCCTTTATTGCCTCCTTGTATCATCTTATCCTCTCCTCCTCCCTTTTTCCTTTACACATTAGTTTATATTTCGCCCTTACTTTTCTGTATCTTTCTCCTCCTCCTTCTTTTTTTTCTATTCCCTTAACTTTTTCTTCACCTCTTTTCTCTTCTTCTCACATTCCTCGGTCCCACCACCCCTTTCTTTTTCCTTACCCACTCTCCTTTCCCCTTCTCTCAATTTTTCTTCTATCCTTCCTATTTTTTTCTCTAACTCCTCTTCTATTCCCTCTTTCACCCCTTTTACCCATCCCATTCCTCTTCTCTTTTTTCTTCTCCTCTCCTCTTTGTCCATCTCCCCCTTTTTCTTATTCCTTTCTCCTCCTTCTTTTTCCCCTTTTCATTACCTCCTCTTCTTTCTAACGTCACGATCAATGGGTGATAGTCCGATTCTATGTTATCTCCCACCTCCATCCTCTTTATCTTTTCTTTTACTTTATCCTCTCCCACCACGTAATCGATGACCGATTCCCCTCTTCCTCCTGTATATGTATACTCCTCCTTTCTATTCTCTTATCCCTCCGTTAAAAATGCCTTACCCCACTTCTTCCAGTTCTTTTATCAGCTTCTTCCTCTCCTCATTAACTTTCTTATCCTTCGATCTTCTTTCCTCTTCCTCTTCTTCTCCTATCACTCCTCCTCTTCTCCCTGTTCTTGCGTTAAAATCTCCTCCTAAAATTTTGTCCATTTATTTTCTTCTTTCTCTTCCATCCATTCTTTCATTTCCTCCATTTTCCTCTCCATGTTCTCGTTAATGTATATACCTATTATCCTCCAATTCTCTCTTCTCACTTCTATATCCGCCATCACATTATTCCCTCCCCCTTTCTCCCATTTCTATTACCTTGATCTTCCTCCTCTCTTCTTTTACCCTCATAATCATTCTCTCATCGGTCTTCCTTTTTTCTTTCTCTTCTTTGCTGCTTGCTTCTCCCATCTATATCTTTTCGCGGTAACTTCTTTTTAATCGCCTCCCACCCTTTTTCTTCTATCCATGTTTCTATCATTACCACCACCTCCCAATCTTCTATTTCCTTCCAGAATTTTCCTCTTTACTTTTCAGTCCCGCCACATTCTAGAAATCTATTTTCCTTCTTCCTTTTTTCTCCTTTTTCTTTTTTTTTCCTGTCTCCATCTCCCCTCTTCCTTTTTTCCTTCTCTTTCTTCTATCTCTCTTTCTTCTCCTCCTTTCTTCCTTTCTTTCTCTTCTCCTTTTCTAACCCTTTTTCCTTCCGTTCCTGTCTTCACTCCCTCTTCTTCCACTTCCATTTTCTCAATTTCTTCTGTAATTTCTCTTTTTCTGTTTTTAAGTACACCTTTTTCCTCTTCCCATTTCTATCAAGCGTCGTTAATTTAATCCTCCCATAGCTTGTCCATACCTGTTCTCTTTCTTCTTTTCTTCTTCCGCAATCTCCATTATTTTCCATTTCATCTTTCTTCACTCTCCTTCATCCCCCTCTCTTTCTCTTTCTTCCTTCCTTCCTCTTTCCTCCATTTTTGCTTCCAAATCTATCACTCTTTTTCCCAAGCTCTATTTTTTTCTCATTTTTCTTCTTTCTTCTCTCCATTCTCTTTCCTTTTTCCAAATTTTTATCTTCAATTTCCTCATCTCCTTACCTACTTTCTCCGTTATCTTTTCTCCCATTTTATTCATCATTTTCTTTAACTTTTCCTTTTCTATCCCCCCTACTTCTCCATGCAGCCTTTTTGTCTTTTTACTCCTCCTTAATCTTCTTCTTTTTCTTCCTTATTCTCTTCTCCTCCTCCCTCTCTTTTCCTTTTTAAAAGATTTTTTATACATCCCATACTACTCCTCCTCTCTTTCGCTAACTCATCTACTTTCCTCGGCCTCCTTACCTTCTTTTTCATTTCTTTTTTTTCCCCCTTCCTCTATCATCCTATCTCTATCAGTCTCTTCACTTATATTATTTTCTTCCCTATCCATTTTTATCTTATTACTTTCTCCTCTTTGCCTCTTCTACTCTATGCTCTAACTCGCTAGTGAATTTCCTTGTGAATTTCCTGTCTTTCTGTTTTGCCTACACCTACTCCTTACACTTATTCTCTTCCTTCCACGTGTCACTTTCCGCCTACCTCTCTCACCTTTTACTACTCTCTATTTTCCTAATCCTTTACCTTTTTTCCTCTCCTGTCTTCTCTATCGATCTTCCCCTTTTCCTACACCCTCTCACCTACTACTTCAAATTCTCCTTGCCTTTTTCCTCATTCTTTCCTCACAAATACCTGCCACACTTTCACACACCTGTCACTCACACTCTTACCGGAACCGGAAGCCTATTATAATATATAAATAATAAATATATATATATATATATATATATATAAATTATATTATATAAATATTTATTATAAAATATTTATTATAAATATAATTATAAATTTGTATATGCATATATATAAATCCACTTTTTTCAAGAGTATTTCACCCTTTTAATAATTATTTGGACCGATATAAAAAATATGTATTTTTTTATTTTGATCAAGATTACAACCACACACATACATGTCTAAAACTCATCAAAATCAAAATTTATGAGTGAGTGAAGTTTCTTAGTGAGAGGAGAGTCCTAGAATTGACAAGGAACATTTGTTTTTTAGCATTATCCTAAATTGTTTTGTTATTAGGACATTATTCTATAACTATACAGTTTTAGATTTTTTTTGTTACTAAAATAATATTTGTGAGCCCCAGCATATGTTGATATTTTTCGTCTACTCTAATATTTATAATACTTACATGTTGTTATGTGTTATATGCTGCCATTAGAAACCGCACTGCATGTCATGCAACTAACTACTCCGAAAGTAATTTTCTGCAACAAGAAATCCATGAATGTAATCTTAAGCGCGATGAAAGAAAGAAACTGCAATCCCATTATTGTGGTTTTCGGTGATCATCCGGACGTCATCTCATTTTCCAACATTTTAAGCATGTACAACGATACGGAAGTGATGAATTTCCGGTTTGTCGAACATGACGATATCAAGCAAACGGTGTGCATTTTATACTCTTCGGGCACCACTGGAATGCCAAAAGGCGTCGAAATATCCAATTATTGTTTTATATTCATCAGCGAAGATACAAATATAGATTTGACCAATAATGCGGTGTCAATTTGGTTCTCATCACTTTATTGGTTCAGCGGAATAATGATGAATTTAAAATCGATTGTGCAAGGCGCCAAAGTGATCATTTATCCGGAATTCGATGAAGAGATGACGTGTGCACTAATCGAGAAATACAAGGTATGAGTCGTAAGCGAACGAAAGAAATTGCGATAACATATATATATATATATATATATATATATATATATATGTTATATATATATAGAATATATATATATATATATATAATTTGTTTCTTTTTATCAACTTATTTTATTTATAATAAATTTTTTCTTGTAAATTCATAAGAGCGAATATTTTGAAATTTTTACCTATTTTTGCGATTTAAAAGCAATAATAATTAAGATACATATGTATATCAGAAAAATATGACTTGTTGATGGATATTCTTTTATAAGCAGCAAATAAAATAAAGTTCCTCTTACAAAAAGTGACCCCAAAATTAACCCGTTTACTGGACCTCGAATTTCGAATCAAATTGTGTTCTAATTTGAAGTTTATGATGTCATATTACTCTTAGAAAAATTTCAAGTTGAGTCCGCTTCTCAATTTTATGGAATGAGAAGTCAAAGTAGGGTAAAAAATGATTGTAAAACGGGTGTCAGCGGGTATCGGACTTACTTAAAAGGTGTATCAATTTCGCAACAAAGGATTTATCGTATTTTCCAAACTCTATACACATATACCTCTATAATATATCCATGAAAAAAGGACATCTATGTATACACGTGTATATTCATGGGAAAGGTACTCTATAAACACATATCCACCACAATAACATTTTAGAACATTTCTCATGTCTGTGATGTATATATCCGCAATATAGTATTGTATGATGTATGGGGTTTCAAGGTTATTTTAAGGTCAAAATCAATTATTGCTAGAAAAATTCTTCTCTTTTGACTGGAAGTGGGGGGCGGGGGGGGGGGGGAGAAATGTTGAGATTTGAGGATATATTCACGAGATAATAAATCGCCGTATAGATAACTTAAATGCGAAATGGATACACCTTTTAATTAAGTCCGATACACCCGCTGACACCCGTTTTTCAATTATTTTTTACCTTACTTTGACTTCTCATTCCTTAAGATTGAGAAGCGGACTCAACTTGAAATTTTTCTAAGAGTAATATGTCATCATAAACTTCAAATTAAAACACAACTTGACTCGAAATTTGAGGTCAAGTAAACGGGTTAAAATCTGGCTTTTTTTAGGATCACTCTTTACTTTATAATTATTGTATATTACCCAGCCAAAAATGATAGTTAAATCAACGTCGAATCAACGTCGTATCAATGTCGAATTGGTCAAAATCTATATCAATGCGACGTCTTTTCGATCGATCATTTCTGACTGAATACTTTATTACTATATATATTATTTTATAATAAAGTTAATTTTTTAAAGCTAATTTAATGTCTTTAACGTGATATTTAGAATTTTAATTGTAGATAAATTTTTCACTCTTAGAAGAGTGTTATTAATTTACTAAGAGAGCTTATTTATGTAAATAATATGTAAGCCACTATAGCCCGTCAAAACAAATCATCATCCCTCGGCCACTGGCGCCGACTCCCTGCTGTGAGGATCGGTGGCCCCTGCTACGAGGGTCACAACTTTCTTCCTGGCACAAAGCCCCTGACGTCAGAGGGGGTGACTAGATAGAGTTTTACGATCCGTGATTGGTCTATTTTTTTAACGAGACATTAGTTCTCGGGGTCTGATAGGCTCTGCCTATACTAGCCTGCACTTTGATTGGGTGATTTTTATTTTGGAAGGGCAGAGGGAGAATAGGTAGGGTTTTGGAAAAAAGCCGACAAAATGGCGAATCGAGGTATACGGAAGCCGCGGGGAGGGGGACTATGACGCCCTGCTCTTCGGACTATCTCTTACGCTATAGAGCGGAAGAGTCTCTAAAGTGACAGCAGTGAAAAAGATTAACAAAAAATACAGACTCACACTGATTTCAGACTGATTGCTTACTAGGCGTTGCAGCTATTGTTGGTATCATCGGTAGGGACAAAGGAAACAAAGAAAAAAAAGATATACAAAAAATACAAACGCTTCTAACGTCTGTCCATGATTTTGCTTACCGTATGCACAACGTTATCAGATATTATCGATATCTCAGTAACAAATAAGACCTAACATAAAAAAAACAAAAAAGAACACGTGTACAATTTCGCTGAACGTCACCTTGACGCCTCGAGTAATCTCGTAGAAATAACCCTAATAGAAAACACGCACCTTCGAGTTCGCATTCAAAGTTTTATTGCTAAAAAAAGTAAAATAAAATTATTTTTTGAAATAGGGATGGAATAGAAAAAAGAGCATATTATATAAAACAATTTAAGATACAAAATTTTATTCTATGCTAATTTTAAATAATATCGGTAACGTTATTATAAAAAATGTACATAAAATTTATTATCCTTATTACATATTGCATACTTATGTTATTACTAGTATTAACAGTACTATATTACAAAAATTTACACAAATATTTCCTAATAAGCGTATAAAATATTTGTACAAAATGCGGGAGAAAATACAGGAGACAAAGAATATTATTATTTTTATAATAAATATCCATGTGGGAATGATTATCGGTTATCAATAAATCTACGTTTTACCAATACTGGTGCGCATATTTTCGTCTCGTCCCGCGTTATAATTTCATGAAATGCAGTATGGCGAATGTCACTCGAATGGCACTCGAGTCACATTTACGTCAGAGGCAGCGAAAAAGCATATTGCGGAATCTATTTTTTACAGAGAGATATACATATAATTTAGAAGATATCTCTCCAGCATTCAAAAATCTAACGTCGGTAGTACATACATTAAAGTCCGCTGTTATATCACGCTGTTGACTGGGGTGCAATTTCTGTCACTGACACTTTTTTTCATTTATGCAAATTAGAATATTTTTTTATATAAAACAAAATTAATTTAACAATTTTGTTTTTCTTTTTGCACTTGTAAAAAACACTTTTTTTATACTGATACACAACTGGACAATTTTTATTTTACATAATCGTATTTTATACATTGTACCTAATATAAAATGAAGCAAATCAAAAGCTATTGCAAAAGTTAAAATAGTTAAAAAATTATTAAATTAATTTTACATAATTAAATATTCTAATTTGCATAAATGAAAAAAAGTGTCAGTGACAGAAATTGCACCCGAGTCAACAGCGTGATATAACAGCGGACTTTAGTGTATGTACTACTTCTCGAAAATCAATCTAACCGAGCCAAATATAAAAATTGCCATATTGTTTAAATTAATTTTGCTTAAAAATAATTAATTGTAAGCTTTATGCCCTATCCCTTTACTGGCAAAATATTTCTATTTTATCTCAATATATATTTAGTAAGTCATCTCTGTATAATGACTTTTGGGCTGGAAAATAAATAATAAAATATTTTAATAAAAAGCAAATTAAAAAAATATATAGCTAATTTTTTGATATATGCCTAAAGTCAACGTCATAAAAATTATAACCCTCGAATTACGCGCACGCAACGCGCGAAAGGTGAAACCTTGTGCCTGCGGTCGCACGAGTGCACAAGACACATCGGTGAGGTAAGACAAAGCCATAGCGATGGATCGTTGGTCCTTGTCTGACTCAATTGTGTGGTTCTCAACTTGGTTCTTAGCTGAATAGTTTGGACATGAACCATATCACGAAATCAAACCATTTACCGTGCTTTTTACCGAGCGTCACGACGTAGTGTATGTTCACTTTGTCAGGGAGCGCACTAGTACACACGGCCGCTAAATTCCGGTGGCCGCTCTCAGATTTCTCTCTGGTATTTTTTTATTTTATGTTAATCGGTTACGATCTTAATCAATTTCTTACTCTTTTTGCCGAAAATTGTACACACAACGACAGATTAATCGTACATTTATTTCAAAAAAATTGTTTTCTGCTGAAATAAAAACATAGTTTCTAATCCTAATATTATATTCAATTTAATAATTTTAATAACATTTTTATGTATCGTTATTAACTTTATGTATTTGTAACATCTATTTATATAAAAAATTAGTGATAATGAACGTCTGTAAAACTTTTTATTTAAATTTTTTATATTTTTCCTACATGCTCTATTTTTTACCTCATAGCAAAATAGAAATTCGACCTTTTGTACTTCAAATTGTTTAATATGCTCTTTTTTCTATTGCGTCGCTGTATTTCGAGAAATAATTTTATTTTTCCGGCAATAAAACTTGAATGTAAACTCGAACGAGCTTGTTTTCTATTGAAGTTATTTTTATTACCCAAAGTGTCGAGATGATGTTCAACCGAATATGTACACGTGCTTTTTTTGTTTTTATTTGTTAGGCCTTATTTGTTACCCGAGGTTTTGATAATACTCGTACCAGATCTTGAGCATACGGTAAGTGAAATCATACACGGACGTTACAGGCATTTGTAATTTTTGTATATCTTTTTCTTCTTTGTTTCCTTTGTTACCGATGATACCAACAATAGCTGATAGTGCAACGCCTAGTAAGCAATCAGTCTGAAATCAGTGTGAGTCTGTATTTTTTGTTAATCTTTTCACTGCTGTCACTCCAGGGACCCTTTCGCTCTATAGCGTAAGAGATAGTCCGAAGAGCTAGACGTCATAGTCCCCCTCCCTGCAACTTCGGTATATCACGACTCGCCATTTTGTCGGCTTTTTCCAAAACCCTACCTACTCTCCCTTTACCCTTCCAAAATGAAAATCATCCATCAGAGTGCGGGCCAGTATAGGCAGAGCCTATCAGACCCCGAGGACTAATGTTCCGATAAAAAAATAGACCAACACGGATCGTAAAACTCTATCTAGCCACCCCTTCTAACGTTAGGGGTCTTGTGCCAAAGAGAAAGTTTTGACCCTCGCAGCAGGGGCCAACGACCCTCACAGCAGGGGCATTGACCCTCACAGCGGCGGGCACTGATCTCACAGCGAAAAGTTGGCGCCAGTGGCTGAGAGGTGGGGGTTCGTTTTGACGGACTATAGTGGCCTACATACTACTTATGTACTATCAGAAAATTTGCATTTGTTAGTAAAAAATATTTACCTGTCATAATAAATCATGTGTTAATAATATTTGCAATAATTGCTTATATTTTAAGTTATTGTACGTACATAACAATTTTTTTTAAATATTAAAAATATATTCTATTAAATACTGTTATAATACCAGGGTTGGGCAGATACTTCGAAACAAAATATTTAAATACAAGATACAAGATACTGTTTGACATATATTTAAATACTATTGATCTATTTTGGTTTTGAAATATATTTAAATACATTTATAAATATACAATATATACACCTCTATATACACCTTAACATTTATACTTTTAAATACAATTATGTTTTAAATTTTCTAATCATATAGGGTATACTTAATATTAATTACAAAAAGATTATCTACTATTAAAAATCGAAATTTTTCAAATTATAGTAATAGTAGATAATTTTATTATAATTACTTTAATATTAAGTATAATAGTCTTACGGTAGAATTATATAAAAATAATATTAAAAGTACACTGAAAGGAAAAACTATTGATTTTAAATAAATATTTCAATAGTGCCATTAACACTATTTGTTTGAAACTAATAATATTGATTTGCCGTAAAAAGTACTTATTTAAGAAATCCTTTTTCAAAAGAGATAAATATTTATTTGTTTCAAACAATGTGTTAATGGCATTATTGAAATACACATTTATTTGAAATCAATAGCTTTTTTCATGTAAAGTAATTTTAACACATTGAAAGATAAGTTTATTTATTTGAACTTTAAACTTTACAAAATAATAATAATTATAATACAATTAATTGACAAGCTCGATAATTAAAAGTATAAAATTCAATTTTTATTAGGCCTTTTTCGAGCATGAAGTTAGAATAAAATAAAAAAAACATAAATATCAGATGTAACATTTATTAGAAGCGGAACGTTTTCTACTTTTACTTAAGACTTCTTCAGCCGCAATATACAAACGTTATAAATATAATATAAAAATTAACTTTAACAATATTAAGATTTTAAAATTTTATGTGGGTGTTGTCTACATAATTAAACTAAACTCACCAATTGTTTGTCCAAGTTTGAATAAATAAATTTTACAGTCATAAAATAGGCACAATTTATAGCTTGATACATAGAGTCGTATTATTGTCACATCTTCAATATCATAATAAAAACTTGAACTATATAATAGACACTTTGTTGGAAAATGAATATCTTCTGTCTTTTATTTTTAAGCATGTTGAGGTCAGGATAAAAAAATTAATGTTTACTAATTTATGTCAAAATAATACTGTTGATAAAAAAATTATCTTTTTAAAAACAGGTAAAAAAAGGTGCTAAGTCCGCGTAATGTTCCTGTAAAAACCTATCCTACAAAAATTAATAATAGTTAAATTGAATTTTTTTATATCAGGTATGTTTAAGTTATTAAACTATTAATGTATTGTTAATCTTAAATTGTGCTTATGCTTATGTTTTAAATGACTATTTTATTATTAAAATTGATGTTCTATTCTTAAATAATTCTTAAATAGTGTATATTTTTTGTAGATTTGAAAAGGACCCAAAATAAAAGTCGAAACGTTGTCTTGATTTAATAATATGTCTTAGTAACAATAAAGATATTTTTATGCCAGTTGAGTCGTTAAGATTTTTCTATTTATTTATTATTCACTGGCGAGACAAAGATTTATTGATTATATTACATATATCTGTATGTAATTACATAAATACATTTAAATACAAGATACATTTAAATTAAATAATTAATTACAAAATTCGAAATACTTGATTATTTGGTATTTAAATACTGTATTCAAATAAGATACATATTTAAATAGGTATCTTAGATACTTTAAGATACATATCTGCCCAACCCTATATAATACATATTTATTGAGTAAATTAAAAAACATGGATTTTACATTTTCACATTTAACAGACATATTGTAATATCAAAATATGAAGAATTTTTTTTACTTTGCTATTTAGGTAACGGTGATTTTTCTAAGCCCAAGTATGATCAATCGATTTCTTAAAAGGGGTTATGCAAGAAAATATTCATTATCGTCTTTGAAAATCATAATTTTTGGTGGTGCGCTAAGTAAACCAAAAGTACAGGAAGAAATGAGACGTACCTTACCAAATGTTCTAATATTACAAGGTTATGGTAGGTATATTCTAGTGTAAGAAAATGCTATAAATATACAATCTTAATATATAATAAATAATACATAAAATAAAAAAGATTTATATTAGAAATTCGATTATTTATTTTATATTTCTAGGAATGACCGAAATCTGTGGAATCGGGACATTTCAGCTGCCGCATCACAAGGCTGGATCTAGCGGGACTGTAATCAATAATGTAGAAATAAAAGCCGTAGACCCAAAAAATGGAAAGGCTCTTGGTCCAAATAATCCCGGAGAATTGTGGATAAAGACACCGAACGTAATGAATGGCTATTACAGAAATCCTAAAGCGACTAAAAGCATTATTGACGAGGAAGGTGAAAAAACTTTTACTTTTGCGCGCACGCGCATATTAACAATGATATAATTAAATTACATCAATTATTTATGTACAAATATTTATTTATATGTGTATACGCAAACCATAGCCAGTTGAAAGTATAATAAGATAACTATAATAGACAATAGAATAAGCTTATAATAAAAGAATTTATGCTAAAATTTATTGATTAATTTATATTTTTTTAAATAGAAATATTTTAATTAAAAAAACTGTTGTACAAATAATAATTGTATTAATTTACTACACAAATAATAAAAAATTTATCCAAAAAATAAAAAATAAAAGATAAACAGTTAAGATAAACAGAAATTAAAATAAAAAACTTTAATTGAAAAAAATTGATGCTCTAAACATTAGTATATTATTCAGATTGACAGCACCAAGATTTAAAATAATGTTAACATTAGTTTGCACAGAATTACAATAATATATTATTTTGTATAACAATTACTTTTAATTAAAAATATATTTTTTTATATTTATTAACGCCGTATACTAAATTACTAAAATTTTATTAAAATAAGTTTTTTGGAAGAAAATATACCATAAAAGAATAAGTTCGAATTTGTTTTAGGATGGCTACATTCGGGTGACATGGGTTATTTTGACGAAGATGGGGAACTTTTTATTGTGGATAGAATAGGAGAATTGATAAAGTACAAAGGATATCAAATTTCACCTGGAGAAATTGAAGCTATCTTAATGACACACCCAGAAGTGATGGAAGCTGCAGTAATAGGAGTACCTCATCCAGTAGATGGTGAACATCCTGTTGGTTTTGTCACCAAAATACCCGATGCAAAGGTATAACTTTGTTGCAATTTTAATGAAATTACACAGCGAAATTCTATGAAATAATAATTTAACAATAGCGAAGTGAAAAGTTTTATTCGAAGAACTTCTTTAAAAATTTTTATAACGTAATTTTTAATAACTTATTTTCAAGATTTCAATTTTTTACTTTTTCAATTCTATAAACTTTTTAAAAATAGATACATCTGTAAATTCTTTATTTTTTATGTTCCAGAAATATATATAATGTATAATATATATTTATATCTCATAAAAATGGTAAATTTAAATATTAATTTTATATATAGAGCATATACAAGAACAAATAAAATGGAGACAATTTATTATGCAAATAAAAATTTAAAAATTTTTCTACACAAGTTTTTGAAAAAAATTTACTTTAAAGATTTTTTCGAGTATGAAAGTTTCAATGTCATGTATTTATTTTATCAAATCATAAATTGCTGAAAATATCACTTTTCTTGCCACATAATATGTATTAGAAGCTGAAGTTGAGAGTACTATGTTTTGAATCTTTATTTCCTTAAATGTGTATTTATATTTCGGGAACTGGCGACACTGATGTCATGTGAGTCCATCTGACGGTTCCATCATAAAGTTTGACATTTTTGACGATATATTGACAAAATGCGATTTTGATTATTGTTAATATTTTTTTATTGTCCATAACTCCACAAATATAAAGTTAAACATAAATAATAGACAAAATGTGACAAAACATTCTCTATAAATACAAACAAATATAGTTGTATGTAACGCGTTCTATTAAGCCAATTTTTCTTGTTAATCAAATGCACTTGTACTTAATGAAATTTCAAAATCAATTTTATGGAAAATAAAGTTTTAGATGAAAAATTAGGTACATTCTACATTTTTGACTTACATTTATATAAAAAAAAAATTTCATTTTTCTTGTATTATGATTTATAATGTATTTTTATATATGTGTTGACAGAATATACAAGTATACATATGGAATAAATTATTTTTTGTATAGGTAACAAAGCAAGAATTAATTGATTTGGTGGCTAATAACTTGAAGGATCAATATAAGCTTCGTGCTGGAGTGATATTTCTGGATGCTTTCCCATATACAGGTTCAATAAAAATTGCCAGGAATGAATTGAAAATAAGAGCTAGAAAACTAGCGATTAAATAAAATTATAAATTAAATTTAATTATGTACTAATTTTTATGTATAATTATGTATAGTTATGTTTAAATATAATTATATTATATTATTAGTATTGGTATTATTATAATATTTACTTATAGATATAATAATTATTATGCTCATACATATAATTATTATATTTAATTATTATTATTATTAATAATTGTATTGGTAATTATCACAATTTTATAATTATGATTTCTTTATATTTTCTGGACAGTTAAAAAAAGTGCAAAATTCATATACATATACATATAATTAGAATGTTTAATATTAAAAAAATTTATAAATACAAAAAAGAGCAATTCAAGAAAAAAATTTTAATGGAATTCAAATACAATGCAACTTCAATGAAAAATTATGACTTATACAAAGATAAGTATTATATATAAAATAATAATGATTAATAACGCTAAATATATTATTACTATATATAAAGAAAGGGAAAAGAGTTAATAATTAACACATATATTCGACAAATTATATTGTACAAATATAAATATAAATAATAATAATAAAAAATAATAAAATAATAATAAATTACCTCTTATTAAAAAAATGTATTACAAATCGAGTCTATTTTTATAGTTTTAATTTAAACTGTATTGTTTGTATTAGTATACATAAATTAGATGTAATAAATTAGTTGTTTAACCTTGATGTTGAATCTGCTCTTATTAGCCGCTTATATTTGTAATACTTTATTTGAATTAAAGAGCATTTAATTATTATATTGTTTAAAAAAATGTATAACCAATAAATTTTAATTAAAATCATAAAATGCGGAAATAATTATCATGTGATCCGAAATATTTTATATTAATAAATATTTAATTTTGTAAAAGAATTTGTTGCTTGGCTTAATATAATGTAAAGATGAGCAGCAATTTTCATTGTTTTTCTAATCACTTTTATTATTCTCGTGTAATTCGCGTTTTATGTAAGAAAAAGAATATTATTGTTATATCACTTTAATTATCTTATTTTGTTCAAAGTACGTGTTTAACCTGTCTTATCTCATGCAAATAAAAGTAGAAAGGATATGCTTCTATTTGCCATCATTTTGCGCAACATCATGAGATTAATCTTCAAGTGTTGTAGATGACAAGATACTGCATTTACAAGGCCCCCACATATGCTACAACAATTAAGCACAAGTTTTAAGTACACGCAGGCCTGCATTAAGAGGGGTGAAGGGGGGCTAAGATGGGCTTATAACTCCGGGACTCGCTTACTAGAGGGCCTCTTGAGCATCATTCAAAAATAATGTTTTTATTGTAATTGCTTTACGATTTTTTGGGAAAAAATTTTTTTTTTATTTTCTTGTTTTTAAATACATAAAATCAGACATGATTTCAAAAGTGGTTTGTTTACGACTTAAATGAAATTTTACCTAATTGCAAAATTTTAATTAAATTGTTATTAGAATAAGCAAATGCCATCTTAAACAGTATAATTCAACAAATAAAAAGTACAATGACATTATACGTGTGCTAATGCGTGTCGATATTTTTCCAAACATTTGCATCGCGTATCGGTTATTTTTAACTATTCCTGTTGCAAATTGTCAAAAGGTCAAAAGATCGTTTTCAGTTTTGAAAGGATAAAAAATTTGTATAGATCGTCGATGCTTGATAGCCGTTGTGGCGATTACATCGTCACATACTTCCCTGAAATTAATAAGGAAAACACGCACACGAATACGGACACTGACATATACGAAAAGGACAAAGAGTCAAATAAATATAAATAAAATATTACAGACGAGACGAAAGACGAGTAGGACAGAAACAAACAAATAAAATAGATAGAAAATTCGCGAAGCCTCTCGAAGCCTAGCGAAGGGCGTTTTTGAAGCAAGGTATAAATAGAAGATTTTTAAGATGACGAGGGATTCCGCTACCGACAGTCGCCGCGTACAGTCGCACTTTATTAATCCGCGCGATTTTTATATATCTCTGTACCGATATTGAAAGATTGTTCTGAAAATATATTTAGTGTTAACCATCAATCCTCTCTCACAATTATTTGAATTCCCGTCTCGTATCGACGCGTCCAAGTAATCGCGACGCCCGAATAACCAAAGTGGTGACCCCGACGTGATCGCGAGCGAGCGGGAATTCGCGATTCTTTTGTGTTCGCGTGAGAGAGCGATACATTTTTTACTTTTTATTGTGACGACCGGTGAGACGATCTATTCGATCGGACCCGGAAAAGTGAGAGTGACCAGTTGCGTGTAAAAAAAACAATTTGACATGATTGTGACGCGAGACGATGGAGTGATCGGTTCGCGCGTAGAGACGGAGGCGCAAGCGTACGAGCAGCCGCGTGTGCAAGTGCAGCAGGCAGCCCCGATCACGATGCAGGCGGCCTCGAGTGCGATGCAGGCGGCCAGGTTGGAGCAGCCGCCGGGATACTTTTTCACCGCTCCCGAGATAAACCGTGTTGGCATGCGAATGCCAGAGTTTACGCCTTCGGATCCGGAGCTCTGGTTTAATATCGTTGACCGGAGTTTCCAGGCCGCCGGAATCACGGTCGATGCTACAAAATTCGGCTACGCCCTAACATCCATCGGGCCGAATTACACTGCCGAGGTGCGAGATATCATCATGAACCCGCCTGCGGAGCACGCGTACGAAACATTGAAGACGGAGCTGGTCAAGCGTCTGAGCCTCACAGGAGCACAAGACCCGGAGGCTCCTGGAACATGAAGAGATTGGAGATCGCAAGCCGTCTCAATTTTTGAGACACCTCCGCGGCCTCACTGGAAACGTGGTTGGCGACCCCGTTTTGCGGACGATCTGGCTTAGCCGATTGCCGGCTTACATTCAGCCGCATCTGGTGACGCGCACGGCGGACACGATCGAGCAGCTGGCCGATATCGCGGATGCGATCGTTGAGGCGACCCGGGCACCGGCGTTTCAAGTGGCCGAGGCGTCAAAATTTGCGCCACCGCAGACGCAAGGCGCGAGCGATCCCGGGGCCTTGGAAGCCAGGATGGAGGTGCGACTGGCGCAAATGCGGCTTGCGATGCAGCAAGAGATGGCAGAACAGCTGACGGCCATACGTAAGTCGATTGAATCCATTGGCGATAACCGATATCGCGACGATGATCGACGTCGTTCGCGACCTCGTTCGCGTTCACGTTCACGCCCGCGAGCGCGATCCAGCAGCCGTGGTCCACCGGCCAGCGGCGTATGCTGGTATCATTGGCAGTTCGGAGCGGAGGCACGGCAGTGCAGACCACCCTGCTCGATGCAGATGCCGGGAAACGCAGGAACGGGACGTTAGAGGCGGCAAGCGACCCGGAACATAGTGCGCGCCGCTTATTCGTGACGGACACAAACACGAAAACGAATTTTTTAATTGACACGGGCGCGGATCTCTGCGTGTACCCTCGGAAGATCGTTCGAGGACCACGGCAGAGATCCACCTACGAACTTTCGGCCGCCAACGGCACACCGATTTTGACGTACGGAACAGAGACACTGCAATTGAATTTCGGATTACGACGGGCATTTTCGTGGCGGTTCGTGGTCGCGGACGTCTCGAGACCGATAATCGGCGCCGATTTTCTCGCACACTACGGACTGCTGGTGGACTTACGCGGATCGCGTTTAATCGACCAACTAACGAGTCTAACCGCGCGTGGACGTTGCATCCAATGTGATGCACCCAGCGTAAAGACAATTACGGGAGAAACGCAGTACCACCGATTACTGGAGCAGTACGCCGACATCGCGAGGCCGGACGGGTGTCCGGGAGGCGCGATCCATGCCACGCGGCATTACATAGAGACGACACCGGGACCGCCCGTCGCGTGCAGGCCGCGGAGACTCGCTCCAGACTGATTGGCGGCGGCGAAGCGAGAATTTCGAAAAATGGTGGAAGCCGGGGTCGCACGACCTTCGAACAGTTGCTGGTCGGCTCCCCTGCACATGGTGCCGAAGAAGGGCGAGGAATGGCGGCCCTGCGGAGATTACAGGGCGTTAAACGCGCGAACGATTCCTGATCGCTACCCGGTGCGACACATTCAAGATTTCGCGCAGGCTCTCGCCGGAAAGACGGTATTTACAACGTTGGACTTGGTGCGCGCGTATCACCAGATTCCGGTCGCGGAAAAAGACGTGCCAAAAACGGCGATCACCACGCCGTTTGGCATGTACGAATTTCCGTACATGTCATTCGGATTACGCAACGCGGCGCAGACATTCCAGCGCTTCATAGACGAAGTTCTGCGCGATTTCGATTTCTGCTACGCGTACATCGATGATATCCTCGTCGCGTCATCATCGGAAGAAGAACATCGCGAACACCTGCGGATGCTGTTCGAGCGCCTTCGAAAATACGGGGTCGTCATCAACCCCGCGAAATGTAAATTCGGCCAGAGCAGCGTGGAATTCCTCGGATACGAGGTTTCCGAAGGAGGAACTCGTCCGCTGCCGGCGCGGGTGGAGGCGATACTGACAATGCAGTCGCCGAGGACGGCGAAGGAGCTTCGGAGATATTTGGGCATGGTGAACTTTTATAGGAGGTTCATGCCCGGGGCCGCCGAAGTATTGACGCCCCTGAACGACCTTCTACAGGGGAATATCAGAAGAAAGGCGACGATATCGTGGACGGCGCGGGCTCAACAGGCATTCGAGGCATCGAAAACAAATCTAGCCCAAGCTGCACTGTTGAGACATCCCAGGGTGAACGCGGAGCTCGCTTTGTTTACCGACGCGTCCGAACAAAGCATCGGCGCGTCGTTACAACAACGAAGCAAGGACGGCTGGGAACCCTTGGCGTTTTTCTCGAAAAGGCTAAGCCCAGCCGAAACAAAGTACAGTGCGTTCGACCGAGAGCTTTTGGCAGTTTATCTGGCGGTGAAGAACTTTCGGCACATGGTGGAAGCCCGCACGTTCGCGATATATACGGATCACAAGCCAATCATATACGCATTCCGCCAGAAGCCCGAGAAGAGCACGCCGCGACAGTTCCGCTACCTGGACTTCATCGGGCAGTTCACCACCGACAT